CTGTCCGTCTTGTGTAAATAATTGTTTTTGTTTGTAAAATTTTTTAGTGACTGTTATTTTGATGTAGAGTTTTGAAAAGGAGTACTATAGCTATAGAGGCGCGAAACAAGGACTTCAGATTAGAGATGGGCGCGGGATAGCGGGACCCGCGGGACCCACGGTACTGATTTAAAATTGGCCGGGATGAGCGGTATCGGGAAGATCTGTAAAAATATGGCGGGCAGGGCGGGACCAAAATCCTTTCCCAACACTCCCGATAAAACCGTTACCCCCGCAAATTCACAAAATCTTCCTTAAAAACGATGTTTGAAATATGGACTTTTAATGTTTTATTGAGACGAAAACGAACAGTAAGGCAAAACAAAATAATCGGAGGATGCCTGATATTTCATTATTATTTTTATTATTTAAAATTAAGTTGAAAGACATGAACATTTTTGTCAACCTTCGATAGGTTTGCAAACCACGCCACACACGTTGAAATCTCAACCGATCGTTTAAATTTGTTGTCCGTTTGTAGCCTGCTTTATAGGTAGATATTGGGACCCACGGGACCCGAAAATCGAATTTCCGGATTGGCAGGATCGGGATTAAATATTTAGTCCCGTGCCCATCTCTACTTCAGATATATCCGACAGCACAATATTTGAAAAATCTCTCGCGAAAAACTATGGAGGATCTATTTAACGCTTTGCTCTTGAGCTCAGATCCTTTAATTTCATCTATTTGCAAAATAAATAATTGCATGCTCAAAATTCAAAACCATTAAGCACAGTTGTATCATTGCTGTCAAATTTGGAGGAGAAGTGACTGAAATTTATTAATTTTTTGATTTTCACTTTTCACTTTACTATGTACATATAGGTATGTATATGTATACATATATACATACATACTTAATTACATACATATTTATTTAACAATGAACTCTATAACCTGATTATTATACTTAATTTTGCTAATATATACAAGTTCAGAAAATAAATTTGGATCTGAATTGTAACTGGCCTTATTGTAGTTGTCTGTTTATTTCCATTAACATATTTACATATTCCTATAACACAATGTAATGAAAATCATGAACATAATAGTTTTTGCAGCTAAAACAACGATTTAGATACAAATAATGAATGGTGTTACTTGTATTTTTAGTAAATGTATCGAATTTCAACAATCATTTTTTTCCAATATTCTTCATATATACAAAATGCCACGCGTTCTTAACCTAAACCTCTCATTTTTGGTGATAAGTAAGACTTAGCCCATCTGTGCATAAGTTCTAAATTTCAAACCTCTGCAATGTTTTAAATGAAAGTTGGGGTTTTTTCGTGCTACATTAAGAGAATTTCCCACTGTGCGACGGTGCCGTGCAAACGTATGTATATATTAACCTTGAAGGAAATTGATTCTCACGAAATGAATATATGTATGCAGGTATATTTTTCAAATCTACTCCGCTCGACTTAATTAAAAGGAAAGTGTTTGGAATAAGTATGTGTCAGTAGGGCGAGTCGAAAAACACAAAAACATATAATAATTGATTGATCACATGATTAATCACAAGCAAAAAAAAATTAATTGCAATTATTTAGAAATAATCGATTAATCGAATCTTTAAAGGCACTGTGAGTATTCACAAAAAAAACTTTTCCGTAAAAAATGTCTAATTCTCTAATAAATGACAGTGCTTTTTTCGAAAGTCCGTAAAATTTCGAGTACACTGTTTTCATTTCCTCCCAAGTGTCGATGATATTCCGCTTTAGTTTTAGGACTTAAAATTTTAAATAAAAACTCATTTCATCTTGTGGGTGACCTACATAAATCAATATATTTTCGCCTTCGTTTGTGTAAAAGAGATTTATGAGGTGCCCAAAGATCGAACTCATTTTCTACTGATTCTGGTGACGACTCGTTATTCGTTTCCATAACATTATCTGCGCACAATATTTCATTTCGCAAGAATTTCTTTTGTGAGGCCAATGCTAACGAATCTTTGAAATGAATCTTTGTGAACCTTCGGTCGAGTAAAGTTGATGCAGCTAGCAAAAAACAATGGTTAGACAATTACACAACTCATATTTCTTGAAAATATTTTGCGATTAATTTACAATTGATCGGTTAATGAAACACAGCACTACGATACAATTAAATCGTAAATCGGACAAAAATAATCTATTAATTTNGGAAAATATTTTGCGATTAATTTACAATTTAATTTACAATACACAACACTACGATACAATTAAATCGTAAATCGGACAAAAATAATCTATTAATTTTATCAAATTATTAATGGCTATTTCAATAAATTGAAAAATTAAGTAGGAAATAAAGATTAATTGATTAAAATATTGATGTTANCAATTAATCACATGATTAATCACAAGCCAAAAAAAATTAATTGCAATTATTTAGAAATAATCGATTAATCGAATCTTTNTGATCACATGATTAATCACAAGCAAAAAAAAATTAATTGCAATTATTTAGAAATAATCGATTAATCGAATCTTTAAAGGCACTGTGAGTATTCACAAAAAAAACTTTTCCGTAAAAAATGTCTAATTCTCTAATAAATGACAGTGCTTTTTTCGAAAGTCCGTAAAATTTCGAGTACACTGTTNTTCTAATTCTCTTGCAGGCACCGAAGTGGCAACTAAATGACAGTGCTTTTTTCGAAAGTCCGTAAAATTTCGAGTACACTGTTTTCATTTCCTCCCAAGTGTCGATGATATTCCGCTTTAGTTTTAGGACTTAAAATTTTAAATAAAAACTCATTTCATCTTGTGGGTGACCTACATAAATCAATATATTTTCGCCTTCGTTTGTGTAAAAGAGATTTATGAGGTGCCCAAAGATCGAACTCATTTTCTACTGATTCTGGTGACGACTCGTTATTCGTTTCCATAACATTATCTGCGCACAATATTTCATTTCGCAAGAATTTCATTTGTGAGGCCAATGCTAACGGATCTTTGAAATGAATCTTTGTGAACCTTCGGTCGAGTAAAGTTGATGCAGCTAGCAAAAAACAATGGTTAGACAATTACACAACTCATATTTCTTGAAAATATTTTGCGATTAATTTACAATTGATCGGTTAATGAAACACAGCACTACGATACAATTAAATCGTAAATCGGACAAAAATAATCTATTAATTTTATCAAATTATTAATGGCTATTTCAATAAATTGAAAAATTAAGTAGGAAATAAAGATTAATTGATTAAAATATTGATGTTACTTACTTTTAATTTGCCCAATTTATTTTTTATGATTTTATGATAGGAAATCAGGTCGGGATTTTATGTACACATGTCGTTGTAAAAATTTTAAAAATCACTATTCCCGCTCTTATGTTCAAGAATAAGGGATTAAAATAGCACCTGTTGAGATCTACACAATTTTCGTATCACAAATTTTGTGTTTTTCGACCCGCCCTACTGGACAGTCAGTTTTAAATCAAGCGCCAGACATTTCTAAGAAGCAAATAAAAAACTTCGTCTCCACTTTTGACTCGGCATATGTAACAGCTTGAAAAACCGCGACTACGGCCTGGAAAATAATAAACCAAAGCCAACATCTAGGAAATATTTTTGCATGTATTATAAATGATTTAATTTAGTTTAATCATCCGAATCTTATTCGAATAGGAGAAACTTGCGTAAGAAGCTAAGCTACAATTTCAACACGAAATTTCGGTCTTGATTCCATAAAAGGCGTAGGAACCCTATTTTGCATGAATAGATAAATTGGGGGTTGTAGGGAAATGTCGTGCGACTTTAGTATCACTGAGCCATATCAGCGTTGTTACTCTGTGCTGGTCTTCAACAGTCTGGCGGAGATAGCGGAAATGAAACTCTTAGATCTCCTCATTACATTCGAGATATAAATTGGTACTGCAGGTTAATACCTTGAAAATTCCTTCTTTTCTCTCACCCGGCTAGGAGAATGTGCCTCCTTCTAACCCTTGCTCAAAAAGAGCACATTTCATACACGCGCTGCTAACCTAACCTAGTCGAAACAAATCATTCCTGCGCGGTAGGAGATAGTAGGCCTTTCTAATACATACCTACTGTTGGCCATGTTTTATGTGATGTATTTTCAGTGCGATTCGCTCGGCAAGTAGATTGCAACTGATTTATTATTATCTTCGTTAACAATGGATTCGAATGGCTAATTAACAGAAGTATAGTTATATACCGCTTACCGCTAGAGGGCAAGGGTGTATCTCAATCTAATAGTAATTTGCTTATCACTGGACTTCAAACTATTTTTTTTTAAATAAGTGATTATAATAAATAAGTGCACATTATTTTTTGTAATTAATACGCTGAACTTTACGCAAACTTTTACTTTTTTGAGCCTTTGACAGATCAAGCGCCTCTCCTACCTCACCACCAGTCGAAGTGTTTGAGACCTGATGTAGCTGTAATCGGTAATTTGCTTTCAACCGCAGTTTTCACTAGGCTCCACAGTGTTTCGACTACTATATGGAGGCATGTGGAAAAAAGTCTTGGTGTCAGTTGATTAAAAAACCGGTTGGACTTACCGCCCTATTCCCACAACACTGACAAAATTCATCATATGATTATTGTCACAATTACTGCGCCTAAAACATAATATAAACATTGTTTCGCCGTTGTCACAGTATTAGGCGCAGTAGTACGGCCACTGAGTTTTGTCAGCCGTGTGGGAATAGGGCGGTTAGAGAGGGAAAAGTAATAGTCATAAATACAAAATTTCACATTATTTACTCACCCTTCTCTCTACGAATGGTACATTTGCAAAAAAAAAAAAAACTAGAATCGGCGCGATACCGACTAATTAGTTTAGTTGCTTTTAGCGGTGAACCCATTACAGCAAGTGTTTCTTTTCCCACTATAATCAATTCTTTAAGTGTCAATAATAATTATTCTCGTGAAATTGTTTATCACTTATTTGGTATTTTCTCTTTTTTGTTATCAAAAAATTTACCTGGAAAAATAGATGCTAAAGATCAGTGTTGCCAGAAGAAAATTGCCAAATAATACTAATACTAGCTAAAATGACGAGCTAACTTTTTTTAAGTTGGGCATTTATTGACGTAAAGTTGTTTTTACATTTTCAGAAATTTTAATAAACACAACGAATTTTAAAAATTTAAGTGAAAAAACTTTAAAACTAAAATAAGGTGCATACATTTCGAGTTCATTGACAATAGACAAAGAACTAAAAATACTTTACAAACTGTTAGAATTTGCAATTTCAAATATTTGTATTGACCATAAAAACTCGGATTCTTCTGAGAAGTTGTATTTCCTTCTCTCCTTAACCCTCTAGTAGGCAGAACCGCCTCCAAACGGTCGTTAACTAAACACCTTTTTAGTGCACCTATAATAATTTTTTTCTATATTCGTAAGGCACGATCTTTAGACAAAAATCGTACCCTTACGGCGAAGTAAATTTTAATCCGTTATGTCAATCCGTTTTATTTTAATCGGCAGTTGAACTACAGATTTTGAAAACACGGTTAAAATTAATAATTTCTTGCTATTTAGTAATTTCGTAATTAAAGAAATTTTTTCTTTTGAAAAATTTTTTGATATAAAAAAATTCGGTGGATTTCGTTGTTAAAAGCACCGTATTTTAATATAAGTTTTATAATTATGTCACCATTCGAAATGGAGAAAATTGCTTTCGAACACAGACCGTCTACAGACCGGCTTGCCGACATATAAAACCCCAGTTTTGCATTTTTGACCGTCTGCAGACGGCATTGCCGGTTCGTAGGTCAACATTGTGTAAGAGAAAGCTGAAAATATGTGTAAGTATATCGGCGAGCCCGTCTCCAGACGGTCTTGGTTTTTCTCCCCTGTAGGAAAAAGTTACTGTCACAGATCGAAATGGACATCAGTTTTGGATTTCTCGTGCTAAAATCACCCATTCCTGAATTTTTCAACTCATAAAAAAATTGGCCTACTAGAGGGTTAAAGTAAAATAAGGAAGGTAAAAACTTTTTTCTTCTAATTAATTTTTGAATTCTTTAACTTAGATCCAAGAGTTTATGGTGGAGTCGGTGTTTTCCCGTGTATACAGATGTATGTTTTTCCACCGCATTTCGAAATTTGTAATTTCATCAACGCTTAAGTTTTGGCTTTCCTTTTCTACCGTGGCCGCCTGAGAGAGATAGTTAGCTAAAGTCCAATTTTCAGAGCTAAATAGAAAAATGTAGATCTGAATCTAGCTCCAAAAGCACCAAAATGGCAACACTGTAGTAAAGATTCTTAGTAAAAAGAAGTGTGAGTACCAGTTCGTCAGGTCTTGAAATTATACGCATGTTGTAGAGAATTTCATGTGGTTTTCGAGCATTGGATCATTTCGCACGACTTTGCAAATATATGTAAATTACAATTTCATTGATTTTTTGATTTTCACCTTCTTTTTGCGAAATTTCGCGAAAATAATTTTTAGAAAAATGGAAAAATTTTACAAATATATAATTTTTATATATAACTTTTGCTCTTCTGAGAGTGGCAGAAAACAAAAATTAACCAAAATTCGAATGATTGAGCCCACATTTTTTGCATGTTGTAGACGTTATAGTGATCTAACTTCCCCATATTTAATATTTAGGGTTTTTTAATAGAAAAGAAGAGTACAAACTAAATTTCATCGAAATTTAATGAAATTTAATGTTTCCGCCCACAAGAGGGGACGATATTGCATCTTCAACAAATTTGACAATTCGCTCTTCCTAAATAAAATTAGAGCACATGTCAAGTTTCAGCGAAATCTGTGCAGGTTAATTATTATTTCCAACTGCCTCCATATAGTTAGTCGAACCACTGTACGCTGTTATTATTTTCACTTACACCGCCGGGAATCATCTGATATATGAGCCGCCTAATACTTTTCTTCTTCTTCTGTTGTTGTGTGCTAAAATGCAATGATAAGACCGACGACCAGTGTGACCAGGTTGGCATTTTTGAGGCTAGATTTAGCATTTAATTTGAAGTCACAGCCTCAGAATTTTCATTCTGACTTCGTGCCTTTTTGCTGGCCTTTTTTACTTAAAATATTTATATTAGAAATACGTAATATTTCAAATATTACAATAACAGAGCAATGTACGATTTCCTTGAGAGCATTCTTTCTTAGCTGTTTCTTAGGTTTTAAAAAATAGTACTACGAAATTTGCCTCATACTGTATTTTTGAAACAATTGATTTGTTGGCGTATTACTAGTTTTATTTCGTTTCCTAAACTGAACTCCATTTTGCATACCTTGAAGTAATGTAGCCGTTATTAACCTGAAAGATGTTATTTTGTATTTTGTTGGGAATGATTTAAAAATTTATTTAAAAAAAAATCGGTTTCGCGGGAATTATCGAGTTGGCGAAAACTTTTTAAGGAATGAATATACTGACTTCTTTTTAACTTAATTTTTCATCGGGTAGAACTTTTTCTAACCTTTTTTCAAAGCCTCGCTTTTTGTGATCATCTGATCACACTGCCGAGTACCCTTTAGCAACTGTAGCCTGTTGCCAGTCAATCTTCTTCTTCGTATTAGAAGAATCGCGAACGTAAACTTTCGCCCCGTTATCAAAAGGCACATCTCTCTTACCCCTACGGCTTTTAACATTTAATTGTTGGCTTTCGCAAATCTTTTCTTTCACTAGCGGCGGCTTAAGCACAGATAACCTATTTTTCAATTACCGTCCTTGTAGTAATTTCGCTAGGGATGCACCTGTAGAGCAATGCTTAGTACATCGATAGTTATATAAAAATGTATCTATAATTTCATTCAGATTATCTGAACCACTTTTCAGATTTGCATAAATATGTATGTAAATCGTTTAAACGTTTTTACAAAGTTTTCTGCTTGCCCGTTAGTGGATGGATGACCTGGGGCCGTTAAGCAGTGCTAAATTTGTAACTATTTCTACTGGGAACGAACTATTCATGCCCGGAATCTCTTCATGGTGATTTTACGTATTTCATGCAAAATAAATGTACTTTACCAAAACCCAGATAATTTCGACAATTAGTTTTTTTTTCAAATTCAAATTCAAAACCTGTATATGAACAAAGAAGCGATAAGGGTGGGGCTGCCAGGTCCCCCTGGGGCAAAACCGGGACACTTTGAAAATTCAAGAAATAACACCCCCCCCCCCAAAAAAAATTTACATATTTTTATTTACGCACATAAGTATTATTTTTATTTACACAACCAAAAATAAAACCGTAAAGAAATGATATACCTTCCAGGTACTCTAAAAAAGCTAATCACAACTACAAATCAAAATAAATACTTTTAAAGTGGTTCATATAAATAAGTAGGTACATATGTATCTATGTATGTATGTTTAAATACTAGGTTTCGTGAATGGAACATTTTTTACATAAGTATAAAAGGATAAAATTAAACAGACATATATTTTTCGTTGCGCAGAACTTGTTCCAAAACTTCTGGCTTATTTTTAATATAATTGTAAAATTCTGTGCAAGTCAGTCTTAAGTTGAATTTGCATTGAATAATACTCTCTAAGGTACTGATATTCAACGAATTTCTTTCCTTTGTCCATTGAGATGAAATAAGAGAAAAAATTCGTTCCGCATTAGCATTATGACCAGGTATCGCATATAAATATTGAACTATTTTAAGTAAATTTTTTTTTCTCTCCTTTTCTTTAGTTTTGTTAAAAAAATAAAGCCATTTTTCATTTAGATTTTTACATTTAAAATCATCAGTTTGACTTTCTATAAATTGCTTTAAATATATTACCTCTTCAAAGCAGTCATCAGAAATTGTTATATTTTTTTTACTTAAATACATTACAGTCATTTGGACTTCTTGCCAAGTTGGTTCATTCTCCAAAGTCATCCAACTAAAAACGCTATATTCATTGAAATGGACACTCCACTCTTCCAAGTAACTATTTGCTACATCAAAAAACCTATTTACATCATCTTCAAAATCTAAAATTCCCCCTGCGTATACATATATCGCCTCTCTTCTGTTCACTTCTCCCACGTTTCATAAAAGACCATTCCTCTGTGTATGAGAGAAGGAATTTACATTTCCTTTTTGGCATTTTCTAAAAGTGGTTTAATGTATTATAAACATATCTATTTTATAAATTTTGTGAGAAAACTTACAATGAAATCAGAAACACTCAACTCGAACAACCAAATACTTAGCGCAAAACAAAAACAGCTGTAGCTAATTAGGAAGAACACTTTACATCGATAATCGATATATGTATACTATGCAATGTGCAACTATCTAGCGATGCTAGAGTTTTACAATTGAAGTCGGTAGTTGGTACTTTTATTCAGACTAGTTGGAGGGGCTCATTATAAGCAAACCAAATAGTTGGTAGATTTCATGGCTCCTTACAATCGATTAGATTTAAAAACCGGGACATTTTAGGGTTGGACCGGGACACCGGGACAAATGGCCTAAAACCGGGACATGTCCCGGAAAACCGGGACGTCTGGCAGCCCTAGATAAGGGTTAAGTGGCATTTAGATCAGTTTTGGTTTTTTCGTTTGTTTATTTAGTGTTTATAGTGTTTTTATAAAAGTCTACATAAATCCACATTACAAACTTCGTACAAAAATTATAAAAATTAAATAAACTTTTACAATCACACGCAAAACTTTTAAACTTTTTATTCAGAACTTTTAGAAAAATTATAGGTATGCAATTTTGTAGCCCATTAAATTTAAGTAAGTTAAGCAAAAATTTTAAGACGCTAGGAAATCGCGTTGATTTTTAATAATTTTTTAAGATAAAACGTGAGTCAATTGGACCTCTAATTGGCTTCTTATTTTTTGGTCCATACTAAAAGCTCCTTTTCATATGAAAATTCGTACGTGTCCCACCTGTGACAAGAATTTCGGATTTTTTTTTTTTAAATAAATCTATGATTTTTGTATAAGTTTTTGCTTTGTTAGTATTCGTAGTTCTTTTTTTATTACAAGACATCAAGTTTACACAGAAAAGTGAAATCAATTCACAGAGTTTCCGTAAATTATATCTGCTCCAAAAAGCAAGTTCTCGAATAACTCGAATTTTTTCCCATATCAAAGTAAGTTGGAATTTTTTCCGTATTTGGTAATAACTCGTATAATAGTGAATTCGGTGTAAACTAACAAAATGTAGAATTTTGGAGAACTTTATATTTTTAAATTTAAAGAAGTACATTTTTACTGTACAAATGTCCCACCCGTGACGGTGGAATACCCCAATTATAAAACTCGTAAATAGTACATAATTTCTTTAGTTTTGAATACCTTCGCCCATTTCGAATACGAGTCAATAACTACATATAAGAAAATAGAAATTGTATACAGAACCAGCCAAATCCACATGAATTTTTGACCAAGCTGCTTCCGTGCAGGGCTGTGCATGCTTGCAGGGATTGCAGTTTGATATTAAATGCTCTATGCTGCGATCCAAATTCGGCCACCAAAGAAATGATTTCGCCCAAACTTTATTTTTAACGGTTCCAAAGTGCGAGTGGCGCAGCTCTATTAAACTCACCTCCTATTAATTTATCTAACACCACGTTATGAACAGCATTCTCTCCAACTTTTTTCGGGTTTGAGTAGTGCTCTTGCCGCCGTTGCCGAGTGCTTAGAGGTGCCTACTGCCACTCGGGGGGTCCATAATTAAATTTCTAGTCTCAGCAACTGAAAAAAAGTTTTTTTTTTTCAAAAAGCGGTCGCTCCTCGGCAGACAACGGCAAACCTCCGAGTGTACATCTCGCATAAAAAAGCTTATTGGTATGTGGAGTAAAAATGTGGATCTCTCGATTTGTGTCACAACATCAAGAAGCAGAACACGAATTGGAGGAGAAGCTTGGTCAAACACGTAGAAAACGTTTAAGCACCAAACATTCGTCAATGTTATTGTGGCTTATTAACATTTAATTTTAATATTTTTATTGAGCTTTATACCACGATTATTTTATTGGGAAAAATGGAAAAAGCAACAAACCAAACATTCATTTATTGGAATCAACTATCATCCGGTTATCCTGTTATGATCCAGTTCATCTCCAAATAGCCTAGGATATAATTTTAAAACCATTTAATTGTTTCCCTTAAACTGGAAAAAGTCTTGAAAACTTCAAAAAACTCAAACCTTTTATTGAGAGGTCAAGATTTGTATGAAGTGAAAAAATGGTTTATTCGATATTCGAAAAATCGAGATTTCAAAAAACCGCCTCTAGATATCCAAATTACCGCTGGAAACTCAAAACTTTTATTTTGAAAAACTGATTCATTCACCGTAATACGCATCTTGACACTCCTTTGCCCATCTGAAGCTTTCATCTTTTTTTAGTAATCGATATAAAAGCAAAGTAATAGTTCAGCATACCTACATAGAAATTCTCTCAACTCTGTGAAATTTCGTCGTACAAGTGCATTTAAAACTGCGGCAACCCCATCTTTATATTTGCTTAGCTCATTTCTATCGATTGAAAATCCCAAATACGAGATCTTTTTCTTTGAAAAATTCACACTTGCTAGCATTCAAACGAAGTCCAGCTGCCACTAATTTATGTAGCACTGTTTCAATAGTTTGTATATGATTGGGAATAGGTTAGGTTATAGGAAAAGGGTACACTTAGGCCTCCATTGGCCCATTGTGATGCAATATTTGAGACTCCTAGCGTCCCTCCTCCTACCTCAGAAATGGAACCAATTTGTCGCTCTGATGAAGCGAACAAAATCGTAGATACTGGCCGAATCCAGCTCAGCCAGACACTCAAAAGAATAGCGAAGGAGCGAGCGTCGACGAGCCCTTGCCAAAGCGGGACAGTGGCATAGGTAATGCTCCACGCTTTCGATTTCCTCCTCATCGCGGCAGCTACGATAGTAATCGTTTGGCTGCAAAACCATCCTGGCAGCGTGTGTTCCCATAAGGCAGTGCCCGTTGAGAATTCCAATAACATGGCGGAGCGTTGGTCGCTCCAAACTGAAGAGAAGGCGAGATCTACGCTTATCCTACCTAGGCCAGGCAATTTAAACAACTTTAATAATATAAATAGATTGGCACATATGTTATTGCCATACCTAAACAAAAGCGTTGGGCGGAGCGTTTTCTGACGACTAGCTTAACGCGAAAGTGACATACCTAAACAAAAGCGTCAACGCTACGTCAAATGCAGAAATAACACCAACAATAAGCATAGGTTTGTTTGTGTGTAACAGGAAAACGACAGTTACGCCGTTTTCTGCAGTCAACTGCAATACCTAACGCCCTGTCGAAATCCTATTTTCCAACCGCTCCGCGTTGACGCCGCGTTGTTTCGGTATGTAACTTAGTGTTTGGCCGAGCATCTCCTTTGATTTGTAGTGTGCGCCTTGACGTTATTACACAAAGGGCAGGAAACTACAGTTTTACGCCGAATCCGAAAGGCGATTGTATTTTTATGAGAAGTTGTTTTTCATGGCAGAAATGCACTCGGAGGTTTGCCATTGCCTGCCGAGGGACGACCGCTATTAAGAAAAACCTTTTTTCTATATTTTTTTGCGATGTTGCTTTGACCAGGGCTTGAATCCAGGCTGCCTCCCACTACAGCACAGCGGCCGCAACTTTAAGCTTGTGTAAAAGCTGTAATTTACATATAAAACTGTAAGTCTGGCAAAATTGTTCCCGCGCAAGTGCCCAGGCGAAGCTTCTCCTAACCAACCAACCATCTGATAAGAACCAAAGTCGATTCTTGGTCGAATCAGCATCCACCAGAATCCTCTTTTAGCAGGCAATGGCGAATTATCGAGTATATTTCTGTAATTTAATACATAACTTCTCATAAAAAATCATCTGCCGTTTGGAGGCAAAATAAAGACGCATACAGCAAGTTTGACGAGGAGCTCGACAAATCACTTAGTAAATTGTGGGAAGCACCAATTGTTTTTTTTTATAAAAAAGGAAACAACTTTTTACCGATCGGAGGTATGCGTAACAACATAAAGACACGCGGCACAGATTGAAGTAGTTCGAAGCTGGGTCAAATACGAGTACTAATTTAGCTTTAATGCCATATAGAATTTTCAAGTTAGAATAGTGCGTGGAAGAGATTCACCTTTTTAGTTAAAGAAAAGACCCACTACCAATTAAATCTTTGCACAAACTTCCTGAGGTATGAAAGCGCGCTGCAGTTTTTCCTATAGGGTATTCAAATATGTTGTGTCTATATATGTATATGCATACTTACATATACATTTAAGCTTATGTACCTTTGTGTATTCTTACAACAAGCAAAACAGCATAAATATGTAAAATGGAATATTACATAAATTTTCTCGAGTAACACAAATAATTCGTTGTCGACGACAAGCCACTGAGCAATTAAAATAAAATAACTTTTTTATGTAGTAAAACACAACAATAATTGTTAGTCCATTAACTATGTAGCAGCTTTCTGCCTTCATGTAATCAATTCTTATATATGTATATATGTATATAAAATTTTCTTTTTTGTTTTCTTTTTGCACAGAGGACTCTTCACTTACACCCAAACTTTGTAGCGATGGAAAGCGTTTCTTCAGTGACAACATTTTCTCGACTTTCTATTCAATTCGTTGGGTAATTGTTAATCAATAATGTTAATTAATAGCGCTCTAAATACATTTAATAGCTCTTCACGATGTAATATTGTTCGACGTGCAGTTGGTGGTAAAACATTTTTCGTACTGCAAAAGAAAATGAAATCCAATTTGAAAATTTCGCAAAGAAACATGTGGATAGAGTTTTTACTTGAGCCAATTTCTATTGAAGATCACTTGTTTGCTGAATATTTCGGTTGTTTCGAGCAGAATTTTTCAAAACAACGCTAATCTATTTTTAAAAATCATCAGAACTCAGAGAGAAGAAGCGAAAATTTATTTGCACATTGCTCTCTGTTGTAGATAGTTTGTTGTATTTACATAGTTTGCTAATACATATGATTCTGCCTGCTCTTCACTATTTGTAGTTTGAGGTTTGTGGATCGCAGACAACAGTGGTTGAAATGTGAATGAAAGACTTTTTTGTTGAATTTTTTTATAATTAATGCGTCTATCACGGGTTCTAGTCAGATAGTACTCTCTGCTTTATTGAACGGTTTTAAAATTATTTTAAATTCAAAATATTTGTGTTGAATCTGGGTAGTTATTTTCAACTTCTAATAGATTGGGTCGTATGAAAAGTTTCCGCTGACTTTTGGGTAAAATTTTGAAAAAAAAACATCCTTGTTCAAAATCAATTATAATCAATGTACATATTGGCCATTATTATCTATAATCTTTTTGCCAGTTTTCAGGTAGCTTCATAATTTCAACGGTGTAGAATTTCTGTGGTTTATCGGCCCAGTGCTTTTCAGCGTTTCTTTGGTCGGCCAGTTTTTTTTTTTATAATCAAGACAGTTTTGCAGGGACCGAAGCAAATGAAAGTCAAACGGTGCAAGGTTCGGGCTAAACAGTGGATGCATTAAAGCTTTTTTCAATCAAGTTCCGCCAATTTGTGCGGAATCATCGAAAATATGTGTGACCTGGCATTGTCTTAATGGAACAGAGCCCCTCTGTTCGCCAATTCTGGTCGCCCTTTCTTGATCGCTTCGTTCAAACGGTCAAGTTGTGCAAAGTAGATGACAATTCCCGCTCAGCCCCACCAAACACTCACGCAATGATTTATTATTTCGTTTTTTTTTCGTTTTTGTTTTTTACGTTGGTCCGACCGATCGTCCCATAAATTCATATAAATATCTGGCGTCCTCCTCTCCCTTCATAAAAAATCCCTTGATTTATTTTTTTTTTAGTTTTTGTATCTCACTGTTTTGAATCTATCGATGTCTCACATCACACCTTATGAAATGCAGAAATCTTCCTTTGTGAAACATTTCCGATCGCCCTAGTACATAGAAAGCCATTTCGTGATGGCGTGTATCCTTAAATCCAAAAACAAAACTCCTTAATGTGTGTGTGCACACTAGATATGTATGTGTGCATGTAGTTATGTGGGTTACGGCCCAAAGCGGCGACAACTTTGAAATCCAAACCTTTAAATTATGTCTGCACAGCATCTCCAAAGCAGTCAAATATTACGTCATCCTTTGTTCATAAGTAGTGTGTACATATGTAAGTACGTAGTAAGCAACCACCCTGCAGGGAAACCCCAAACTAGTGAATCAAATTTCTAGTTCCGTACTAGATCTTTAACGCCAATCCGATAGTAACTAGATCTCCACCAGTTCAAAATCAGCGAAATGGTGTACTTTTAAAAAAACTATCTTATTTCACTTTTTTCATTAGAAATTTATATCGAAGGTGACGAATTTAGANCATTTTATTTCACTTTTTTCATTAGAAATTTATATCGAAGGTGACGAATTTAGAAATGGTTCGAAACTTTCGAAAAAGGGATGCAGCATACTGTACATAGATATGTGTTTGGTGGGTTTTTCGTTCAAATACGCCTTCATTCTGCACTTCGCAGATGCTTTTTCATAGTTTGGTAGTAAAAAACAAAAATTTGTGTTAACATTTGAACATCTTGTGACCGTCTGGAATCTAACAAATAACAGCGAGCACATCTGCAAACTATGCTACAGCCAAAGTTATGTAAACGTACATTTCTTACAATCATTCGAACAAATTTAATTTCAAATTGAAAACACAATTCTTAGAAAATTATTTAAAATCGCACACACGGAAGAACCAAAATGATTGAAAAATCATGATATTTTTTCTTTCGTCTGTCGATTTTAGAACTGGCTCGGAGCTATAAAATTTAGGACTAGTTCAGAACAGGGATGCAGCGGGGGCAATTGACACTTCCTAGGATATCGCCATGTAAAATTCGCCAGTTGTATTGGGTCCAAATGTACTAGAAGTGCACCAGTTCAGAACTGGAGATTTTCCCCACAGGGCAACGACCAGGATATGTGTATATACATAGGTACATGCAAGTATTTATGGATGTTTACTATAAACGTTTAGTGTACATGAACATTAGGGTGGTCCATTTTTTTTAATCATCAGAACTGTAGCTCGTTGCTGTAACTATTCTCTACCAAGGCGAATTGAGATATGAATTCGCCGCCCTGTCCTCTACTGCTAATGAGTAATAGAGAATGACGTATATTCTCTACCAGTAGATAAATAATCGGTAGAGAAGAGTTACAGAAACGAGCTACTGAAGAGCACTTCGGATAAGGTGACCCGTATTGTTTGCATTTTGAAATTGGTTAACATTTAATGGTACAGCCAGAGTTTTAAAATTTCCCATGCATTTTATATAAAGGACCGCCTGAGGAGGTTTGAACTTTGCCATTTTTCATCCTTGCCAGACTTTTGATTATGGAGTAGCTTTCTTATACTTTGATTAAATCATCTTTTCAGGCTTGTGAGCCGAAAGCCACTTGATACGCAAACTTAATATATTTCCACCCAAGTTTTCACGGAAACTGACCTATATTTGTATTGAAGTTATCATCAAGTTGTCACGAGAAGGATCGCTAACTGCCTTTTTCGGAACATAAATGCCGTTTCAGTCGGTCCTCTATTGGCTCTTCAGCGAGCTTTCAACAGAAAGGATATTGTCTTAGAAAATATAAATGGCATCAGGCTTCTTTCTGGATACCCGTCTGGTCGCAACCGACTGCGATTCCACAGAGTCGGAATGCCTTGCTCTGCCTTGCGGACGACGAAACTTCAGAGCATATTCTATCCGGCTTTGGCCATACTAAGGTTGATCCATTTTAAAGCTTCAATAGTCGAACCCTTTTTTATAAAGACTTCGCCTAACAGTAGCGCTTTTAGGTTGAATTGGGGAAGCCGAAGGTATCTTTGGGACAGCTGTGGTAGGGTCTCTCTCTGAGATATACAAAAGATATTTCAGTTTGCGTTATCTCTTGTTCTGTTGTATCCAAGCACTACCTAATTATCCCTAGTAGGGTAGATAGGTTCCAATTAATGAAATTTCAGCAATAATTTTCGTCAGCGTTCAAATGCATTTATGTACATATCTAGACAGAGTTTTATTTCCAAAATATTTGCGATCGATCGTTACCTAAAAAATTAACCCATTGAAATCGAAAAATTTTTAGTGAACAATTTTTCCTGAAAACTTTGGGTGTTAATAGACGAATTTTTGGAAAACTTTTAAACAATTATTTTGTTGGGAGTCATACAGTTAGCCAAATTTTATGAATAGCTTGGGGAAAAGGATACGAATTTTCATTGCATGGATAGTGAGTCAACCTAATATTAGTATATTCGTATATTCATACTAATTTATGCTCTACTATTTTTACGCTTACTCCATTATATATATATTTAAAGCTCAGTAGTGTGATGAGGAGTTGATTAACTAATCTACTAAGCAATCTTTATGATAAAAACAAACATTCCTTAAACAAACCTAATTCCCCAAAATAGCTAATACACACATATGTACTATGAATTTATGTGCGCATATAAAGTGAGCAATTGATGACACCGTTAAGTGCCTATTTTAGAGATATGTACATACATATGTATGTAAGGATAGGTATAGAATTCTCTCTTGCGTGCCATTGCGTACATACGCAGACTCCAATATATCCATAGATATACCATCATACATACATATAGATTTGTAATACTTACGGTGCCATGATGTCCAAAGTGCTCATGCTTGGCACCATGTTTGCCAATATGATGATGGTGTAATGGTGCGCCACTTGGTGGCGACGACATTTGCGATGGTGGACTATGGTGATGGTTGTGATGTTGATGATGCGGTTGTTCCTGATGCTGCTGCTGATGTTGGTGGTGCAAATGCGTATGATGGTTATGCGCTGTTGGCGGCGATGGCATATTATGACCGCTATGTGGCAAATGTGATGAATGTTGCATACCAACTTGATGGCCATGATGATGCGGTACATGGCCCTGTGAAGCCTCCAGCAACGTTGGTTGTATGTGCGTAACGAATTGTGCCATTTTTTGGAAAATTTATTTGGTTATCTATGTTGTATGTATGTATGTAAATTACCCGGACTATTAGATAAGTAGGTTTATTCAAGAGCGCTTTTCACACTTTTTGCTATAAACGCATATGTATTTTGTGTGAAATTATGCAACAACAAGAGCACACTAAATAAATTTGTTGCTTTTGAATTGTATTTTAAAAAAATTGCCACACAAAGGGTTTAAACAAAAATCCTTCATACTGTTGGCTAAAGCCCCCTGCTTACTTTTGGTTTTAAACACTTTTAAATTAACTTTTTTTTATGTATATAGATAATTGTAAATCTTTTCAAATTTATAAATTGCCAAAAGACACTCCGTGAGACCAGCTTTTCCTAGCCAGACATATTTTCTCACTTTTCGCAATTCGCAAAAATTTTCATTACACTTGAAACGATTAGATAACTTTAGCTTTAAAAAATTTTCACATTTTTTGGGTATACTAAAACTTGCAGTGAGAAATTTGTATGTGTATATCTTTGGTGTACTGGAGTATTCGCACTTTTCGTCCGTCAGAACAACCTTTTGCCAGGAACAATGTCAAACAACTGATAGAACTTTCGTAAAATGTTCTGGCTTTAGCAGCTATTGCCTTTTGGCATTGCAGGATTTTCCATACAAAAAACAGTTCGCATCGCTTCGGTATCTACACTATGCGAATTTGTGTGCCAAGGGACTGGTCGGCGTTGTTAGTGTTGGTGTTAACAGGGCCAACCACCTCGCCGCCAGCAGCATTAACCAACATTGAGCTGCTAGAAATACGTACAGCAGCAACTGAGGCTTGCAAAGAAGCCATGTTCTAATAAATAAATACTTACAGACACACATACGTGCTTTACGTGCTTTACGTGCTTTACGTGCTTTCTTCTGGGATGTTTGTGGGCACATGCATGTATACAAAACAATGCTCTAGTTGTTGTTTTGCTTTGAAAATTCACTCCCCCTTGACTGTGTCAGTATAATGGGGTGTTGCCCGCGCTTGCGATATTGCCGCGATTTTCAGCCGAAGCTTTGCAGGATATTTGAGATAAAATTCCTACTAGTATGTCGTGGAACTTTTGTTTATTGTTGCCTTTGCGTCGGCGTTAATATCCCTGCTTTCATTATAAGTATTAATGCGCACTTACCAAGAAAACAATTCTGTGCACGCCACCTTCTGCACAACTGACGGTGGAAACTTACTGGCTTGTGTTTCGAATTGTGTACTTCTAGATATGATTCACTTTCATTATTCGAAGGATATGAAATTTCTCGCACTGAGTGGGCTAAAACGCACACTGATGAATTAAGGCTCCTGAAAAGACCGACGAATCCTTCACGAACAATTGCATGGAATCCCTTAACTTGCTAGCCGAGCACACCCATAATCATCCATACGCAGACTGGGATAAAACGACCCAGCGCTGAGGATTGGGAGAGTCGCCAAAAGGCTGTTCGACGAGGATAGAATAAGCGCCTTTCAAAGCACCTGAAGCAGATGATATTTTCCCTGCTCATCTTCAAAGGGGATCCCGAAGCTTGCTACCTTTTCAAATACCGCTTTTCATAGCATGCTTTGTGGGGGGATCCCTACCACTACAATGGCAGGAAGTGACTGTACGCTACATCCCAAAAGTAAGAGGATAACCAGCAGACCAACCAAAGTCATGCCATAATGATTCTAACGTCCTTTCTATTAAAAACCATGGAGATAATCGTAGGCAGGCATATTAGGGATATTTTCCTTACCGGAAACACTTTACATAGCTATCAATGTGGAAAATCTACTATCCACGCTCTGCAGGGTCTCACAAGGAAAGTTGAGAAGTATTTGAAGGACAAAGAGGTGAAGATGTGGCGACGGAATGTTTCTTAGGCGTGGAGGGCGCTTTGAATAAAACCTAACACTCGCTAATAGACAATTTTGTTCGGAAAACAGGGGTGCAAGAATTCACAAGCCGCTGTATAGCAAACGTCCTTGAATCCAGAACCGTTCCATCACTCTGGGACTAGGAAGAGTCAGATTCTCAGCTAAAAAATATTGCCCGCAGAGCGAAGTGATCTCCCCTCTGTTATGGTCCTCTACCTTCCTTTTGAAAATGGCATCGACGTTGAGGGCTATGTGGACGATATCATCATCCTTATCAAAGGTAGATTCGAAGACACTATCTCCAACCTTCTACAGAATGCAGAAATAATGGGTTAAATATAAACTCCAAGAAAAATAGCATAGTCATTTTCTCCGGAAAAAGGAAATGGGCAAATTAATAGAAGCGTGATGACACGCTCTCACGGAACCCGCACCTAGACAAAATTATTCAAAAGGCCAGGGCCTCTATCTGGAACTGCTGGGAACTAATAGGCCTTCAACGCTTAATACATATTGCTGGGCATATTTCATATGGGTACCAGTGGATTATATATTCTCGCCAGAAAAGCGGCTGTGTAAAGTTATGAATCCCTATGTATATGTACCAGGCCATGGAGATGCGAACGAAGCACTACATTACAGGACAAATACGGAAGGTAGCAGACAGGCTAAAGTTCTTCATTTCGGATATATCACAAGCAGAACCGAAGAATTCCTTCACCTCAGTACGCATGAGTAATAATTGTTACAGGTTTTCTTACTGACCAGTGTATGGTAAAAAATCACTTGTCAAACATTGGAGTTGTCAACTGTGATCAGTGTAGGTTGTGCGGAGAACAGGAAACAGCAGGGCCCATTATGTGCCACTGTGAACCCCTCACTAGGTCCAGACTTATCTTTTTAGGATGGCTGTACCTAGAAGCACATGACCTAAATGGCATTCAGCCAAAGGACCTGGCGAGGTTTCTTAGCAATGCGTGAATCAAAGATGACCTTTAGTCGAATAGAGGTTTTGTTACAATTCGGTCGAGGTAACTAGTCGACCTGCTGCCTCCTCTAAATCTAATCTAATCTAATCATCAGGTCTAGGTGTGAAATATTTTAAAAACTATCACCATTACGCTTAGCCCTTACTCCGAAAATTTCAGACAGATTTCTTAGATTTGACCCCTGTATCCTTTCTTCTCGAAATTTTTGGTCCCTGATACAAGAATATTTGTCAACTACTTAATTCCTATTTCCAGGCTTTTAATCTGCATGAATCTTGAATTAGTATCCCTGGACTTCTATAGAATAATATGACTTTTTACCGAAACATTTTTCGCCCCCTTTTTTATCGAGTAACAAATCACGATAATGGCTTCTTTCGACTTTCCCAATTGAACACGCACATTCTCTTTAGTTCGAGCGCTATATATTTGTTTCTGACACCGCGACAGAGTTTTAGAACGAAATGTGCTCAGTCTCGGCTTACGTAGGTTCGGTCTACATCCGCTGGGTCACACTATCAGGAGACCAGCTTCTGGTTTCAGAACCGGAGGAATTCGACTGCTGATGTCAACGTCAAAAACTCAGCTTTCAAAGTTTCTTGCCCAATAACACGTCCAAAGATAATCTCTTTAATCCAGCAAAAATAACTGGATCTTGGCAACCCTACAAGGATGCCTTAAAAACTTTCAAGAGTTTCGTCCGAATAGCCCAAAGGGAATCTTGGAAGAACTTCTGCGGCAACATTGAGGAAACCTCCAAGGGCGACCGATTACGGAGGATCCTATTAAAAACTCCAGTTGCTTCAAATTATATCCAAAATCCGGACGTAAAATAGATCTTGTCTTGCTAGGCGCTCTCAAAAGCATACTTTCGTGGGTGTACTGTAGAACCTAAGTAGGGTTGCCAGATTTTTTATGCGCGAAGTTGGACTTGAAACGGAGCCTTACGGAACGATCCAGCAATACCACAACCGCACCATTCGCGAAAATAAAAAGTGAAAGTGACACAGTTAAATACCTAGTAACTACGCAACAACAAGTTTGCAAGGGAGAGAACTGACTTACGCTCAGTTAACTCTGCGTGTAAATACCGATTGAAATCTGTTTTCATTGAATTGGGCAACGAACGATGGGCGGAGGAACCAATCTGCTCCGTTACTAAGCAGATCTGGACAAGTGTCAATGAGAAAATATCTAAAACTCTCGTACGAATTGATCGCACCATTATTTGCGTAGTGGTTGTTATCGTTGCAGGACACTGCTTAAAGGGAATGCAGAGACGAGTAACAGGTGGAGAGAGTAGGGCACTATCCCTGCCACTGCTCAACTCTAGCACAATTTATTATTTTTAATAAAAATCTCGACTCTGTGGACATGCGCGATCTTCCACGTTGGGATGAGGTAACAAGGTGGTTATACTACACGGGAAACTGAGGGAGGAAACAAGATCTCGCTAAATGGCATCACAAGGGCTTACTTTCCTAAAAGTGTCTCTCTGCTGGACTGTAGGGAGTGGTAACCACCATAACCTATCTGGGGGTAATTCTGGATTCCGTTCTTTTATTAAAGTTTTACGTTGAACATAAGGCCTTGGCAATGTAATCAAGTCTTTGGAATAACGTGGGGTTTGTCACTAATGAGTATCTTATGACGCTGCTTTTTAATTTCTTCTATGTTTACCCCGACTCTGCACATTTATACTGACAATGATCAAGACCTGGACTTTATATCGAAAATACTGAGGGTAAACTGCAATTTTTTTTGGGGAATATGCCTCAATATTACATGCCGAGGTATTTGCTATTCTCAAGACTATAGAGTACGTGGTGGAGGGGCAGAAGTATCTTTAGTGACATCCAAGCAACACTCAAGACATTGACCAGCACTTTTGCTATTTACAGGCCAATTCAGAAATTCAAGTCTCGGCTAAGTTATGTTATTAGTCACTCGGAAGTACCAGGTAATTGGATATCTGACCATTTGGCTAGAGATGACAACCAATTATAGTACTCCAACCTTTGACCAATTATTGTACTCATCCGTTAGAAAATGAATGAGTGTCTCGGTCGACAATGACTGGGAGGCTTCGAGGGACTGCAGGTGGGCAAACTCATGTTTCCCCCAATATAGTTGCATATGAATTTGCTTTCATTGAGCAGATAGGATAGGTACACAAAACAACCTTATTTGTCCTTCCTGCCTTAAAGAGGAGACAGTGAACACTTTTTGCGTCTCAGTCATGCCTTCGCAAGGATTAGGTATAAGGATTTTGGCAACAACTGATCTCTTTGACACCAAGTAATCTGCTTCGATTTGTTCCAGAATCAGATTTAAAAAGCGATTAAAAAGAACGTGAAGGCATAACAATATTGGGTATGAAGCCCGAGAGCTTTTTCTTGCACACGTTGTTTTTGTGTTTCAGTTCGCGTGGAATATTTCAAAGACAAGACAAAGCCTTTGTAATATCTTATCGGATCCCAGCTTGTCGCCTGGGAAACGGTTCTTTTGCGAGAGATTATCTTATCCACTTTTGAGGATAAGTACTTGTTCTCTGGACAACCACTGAACTTGACTTTCGGAGAGAGCGAAAGTAAGGAGGCGAATTCTGGTGGGGATTAAGAACCACAGCGTCTATTCTCACTAAAATATCGAAAGCAGCTTCAGAACATACGTGACTGTCAATCATGAAAAGAAGTTACTCTTGTGACACGATGTGGGAATATCAATCCAATGAGGAGCATCATCAGCATGATGATAGGGCCTTTGGGGTGTTCGAGAGAAAGATCTTTAGAACGTTTTATGACACATTACGAATTTCTCTTCTTGGTTTTAGTAGTTCGTGGTCGTTTTAGTCACTGTCGTATCTGTCTTTCCGTTTTAGAATTCATATTCCACTTCGTATTCGTCGTCATATTCTTCT